ACAATAGGCAGGAATATTGTCCATTGCTGTCCTTTTAACCTCAAGCACACTTGGCAAGTTCATTATATTATTGTGGTTTGTGAAATGCATGTTTATACTCTCGACATATACAAGCTATTTGTGGAAAGTAGGCACTTAAGTTATGGCTGGTCAAATCCCAACCATAGTGCTGTATAACAACTGGAGTAAGTAATTAAACATAAACCAGAGAAAGATAATAATGATTAATGAGACAAGTTGATCATGGATTATTTATGAAACTATTAAGCGGGTTGGAGAATTGCATAATTATACACCATTAATTACATATTATGCAATGCAAGCTTTCACTTTCACCTGTTAAATCAACCACTTGTGAGTGATGAATTGTGATAAGCAAGCCAATTACGCGCGTCTCAGTCAGGTTATATCGGATTGGATTGGACACACGGCAAACCCATCATGTATTCCATTACCAAATTAGCGTTTGTCCCTCAATCCGTTACGCGTAGTTATATTGGTGCCTGTTGGCTTCTCAAAATCTCCAATTGCTAAAGCCTTTCATTTTGGTGACACTATATTCGTCTGTTTTTCATCGAACAATTATGTTAAAATGATAAAGAAATAATATTATATGCAAACAATTACAAGTAAATATTTTTTTTAATAAATTTTTATATAATATAAAAATACTATTTATATAGAATTACTTTACAAAAATGTATTTTATATTCTCGTAGTTTTGCTTTTGTCTCTCGCTTTCTGGCTTTCTTTCTTTTACGGGGCCAGTGCCAGTCCATTCGAAGTCATTAAAGATAACTTAAATAGAAGTTAAGTGGCAACACTTTACGACATTTTGCAATTTTTTATTTTTAACCATATCACCTGCTTACTTTGTATTCCCACCGTTTTTTCAACTTTTCAGTTTTCATATTTTTCATATTTAATTTGATAATCATGCCTTCTTTGTTACCGGAAGTGTCTTACAACTGGGGTAATAATACAGTTATCATTACATAATAATTGGCATTAAAATAATAAACATTGACCTTAGCTCCTAATATATGCTTAAAGAATCATATTTCATGTCAAAGAAAGAATAATATTTACTGATATGAATAATCATGCCTTATTTATTCGTGCATATACTTCGCACTTTGGATACTTCATATTAGAGTTTGATTTGAATAATTTGATGGCATAGAGGCTTTGATAGTGGTTTGTTTTAGAATGTCCAATAGCCTTTCACTGAAAAAAAGTTTATCTTTTTAAATGACACAACTTATATCTTTTCATTTTCATAAAGAGGTGGAACCCACACCTTTATTTTTTTTTGTCAACTCTCTCTTCTCCTTTATCTATCTCTTTATCTCTCTTAAAATGACACAACTTTACATCCTTTAAAATGACATACACTTTTTTCTATATATCTGTGTGTGTGTGCGCGCGCGCACACGCGCGCGCAATAGTGTAAAAATAATAAGTCATATATTAAATCTTAATAATTAATTTTCATGCATTTAACAGTTATGATTTATTAAGTCACACTCATTAATTAATTATTAATTCTGAATAATTGCAACTATTATATTTACACAAATCAATAGTTAAGATTTGCTGTAAAACTTATTATTCTTAGATCGGTATAAATTGATCATATCTCTTATAAAAGTTAAGTTTAATAAAATTAATATGAAAAAAATATGTATTCTTTTAAAGAACAAACATTTAAGTTAAAATTATTATTTTTATTTAATATTTAAATTAAAAAACCCACTTTCTTTTACCATAATTTATGTTTCTATCATCATAAATCACAGTAATTTGATTAAAATAATACAATTTTATATCCATAAAGAAAAGACTAACACTAATCCAATTAATATATATTGGGTTCGTTTTTTCTGCAGTCAATATAGATAAGTTATCTACATTGAGCTCAAAACGACGTCATTTTGGAGCAAAAATCAAGGTATTTTTGTAATTATAATTTATTTTAGGTTATAATAATATTTCTCATTATAATTTTTTAATCTTTCAATTCAAAACGGCGTCGTTTTAGGAATTAATGTAGATAACTTATCTATATCCACTGTAGAAACATTAAAGCCATATATATATATATGGAAAAAATATTTTTCTGGCAACTTGAGATAAATTTATCTCCGGCCACCCCAAAACTACGTCGTTTTGTTTATTTATTTTCTTATATTAATTGATTCACCTTTGAATAGTTATGATTTTCTTTTTCTCTCTTCCTTTATCAACATTGATCTATCTTTGTACGGTTATGATTTAGTAGCCGAAGATAAAATTATCTCAAGCAGCTTGAGAAACGATAAGCTCTCTCTCTCTCTCTCTCTCTATATATATATATATATATATATATATATATATATATATATATAAATATATAAATCTTAGAAACACAAAATATTATAGCTTTTATTAAATATTGCAAATAATATATACTCATTTTCGCATGACTTAATAAAAATTTAAAATAGGCATCACCAACACTAAAAGCATTAAGTATTTTTAAAGGGTAACATTATATTTATAAATTTTTTGTTTACAAATTCTTAGAAATTATATTATGTCTTACTGGTAAGACACTCTTGAATGAAGTCTTATCGATAAGACATAGTGTAGTTTGTAAAAAAAAAATATTATCAATATAATCCTTCTCATTTTTAAATGGCAAAAAGTTGTATGTTTAAATTTAAATTGAATGTTATATTTACAAATTCTTTATTTATAAAATCTTATTAACTAAATTATCTCTTACCGCTAAAACAACATATACTTCTCCTCAGTTTAATAGATATCCTGATTCATGTTTCCAAGCAAATTCTAGTTGAAGACGAAGCACGTGAAGCACATTTGTTTATTATTCACAAACAACAAAAGAAGATAATCTAGTCACTCATCCATCATCATGCTAAAATGTCGTTATTGTTTTCCCTCCGAAGTGACCTCTCTTTCCCTTACCCTTATCTCTCCCTGGATGTGGGCCCATTGCAACAACGTTGGTGATCCAACCCACAGATATATCCCCTTTTTTTGCTTTAATTTAATCCAACCCACAAGATTTATTTGTTTATTTATTTTACTAATGAGATTAATTCATTTGGTAACGTAGAATGCCAAGGCCAAGTTGTTTGTCTAAGAATCAAACATACATCTAGAGTTTGTTCTTTGTGCATAATCTGCTTACCCGCTATGCCGCTCCTGAATCCTGACTCCAAAAGTTGTATCCAAATTTGAACCCCGTTCTTTTGCAGTTCTCAAACTCGTAATGCTATTCAAGCCAAGCCAAGATTGCTAGAGCTGGAGCTTTATATATTTTAATCAAAAGCAAACTAACTAAAAAAATGTCAAAAACCAAAGAAAGATAACAGCCCCCTTGACTTTTCTCCACGTACCTTTCTTCATAAATCTTACAATATCCAAACCTTGAACGCAATTACTTTCCGCCTTCAATACGCGGTTTTTTAAGCCGAAAAGTACACAGTTAGAGACAAACAATCAGATTGAGATCAAATTTGGCTTATACAGGAGCCACAACTTGGAAATCCAAGAGATTGTGATCTAACCACTTGCACATGATGTGAAGATCTTAAAATAATTCCTTATGCCAACAGAAAGATATATGGGGCCATTTTGGATATAAACGTATTCTGATATGATATGCCACTAAAACATTGCAAACATGCTATGTGGAAATACAGGGAGGATAAAAAATAAAAAATAAAATTATGATGATCAGATCAAATGATAGTAGCTTAGTTGGTATTAAGAAACTGAACAAGTGGGGTGGAAGTATATGTTCGATCCTCCACAGTATAATTTTTGAAGGGATTTAAAATCTTAATCTCGAATTTGCCCTGAATCAGACTAATCGCAAAGTAATTAACCAATTGAAAAATTTCAAAAAAAAAATTACGATAATTAGCAACAAAATATAGCATTATTGTGCAACAAAATGTAACCTATCATACAATGGAGTGCAAAAACAAAAAAAATCCTATTTCAACAAAAAAAAAAGGAGATCCTAGGACTCCCAGAAACTAAAACAATCAACTAAAATGATTTCTATCATTCTGATTAAAGTTCATAGGGTCTTCTCAAATTACAAATCAACATCAAAACGAAGAATTTCCTTTTCTACTTCCTGTTTTTTTTTTTTTTCTTGGCTTTTGTTATGTAGTAGCAAGGAATAATCCCATGACTAATGAAGAATGATGTTCAAATTTAATTTAGAACCTCTATTTGTTGCACCGTACGCTGTACACTGTCGGTTGTGTTGATTCTTCACCCAAAGGGAGAATGGAAAGGAAAAGAAAAGAAAATCCTTTACCTGAACTCTTTCCTGTGGGCAAGTACGGATAAGGCAACTGGGCTAATCCTTTTCATTTGGGACCCAAAAGATGGGACATATATAAATGGTCCTTGGGGCTCATCCTTTTCATTGGGACCCAAAAGATGGCACATAAATTATAATACCTTGGAATCGAAAGCATATTTTTCAATTTTCAACTTTCTTATTAGGAAGCTTCCCAATTCCTTCCTGTGCTCGTGGGGTCCCTCCGGGAACAGTATTACGATGTATGAACAAAATAAAATAAATGAAGGTATATTTGTATTTATGTTTAATTTTTAATATATCAAGATCATTAGTTAAAATGTTAAAATTATATAGAAGAACCTTATTCTTCATGTATATATAATATAAGAAAGAAAATTGCCACGCGGCAAATCCTGCTGCGTGAAAAGTGGGATTGAATGGACCCATCTTGATTAGAAAGCCAATTACAAAAGCTTCAGTAAGTGGAGGATCCATATGCTTGGAATCTATCTACAACCGGCGACAACAAAGACAAAGATAGAAACCCTCAATCTTACCACAACCCTTAGGAATATTCTAATTACTAAGCATTCAGTCACTAATTTATAATACAGTTTCATACTCCAATAAAAGCCATACACCAAATCCAACCCTTGTGAACTTCCCTATATATAATCCACCCTATGCAACCACCCACAAGAACCTCCCAACTCATTAATATACCTCCAACAAAAATGTATGCTTCAACTTCATTTACTTCACCACTCCTCCATGACCTTCTTAAGGACTTCCACTCAAGAAGGTTACTCTTTCATTCCCCACTTTACCAATCATCCAACTCAGCCAACCCCCCAGCTTCCACAAACACCCATGATTCAGCAGAATCATATCTTGGAGATGGTAATTTTGATGCAAATGTTGTTATGGTACTCTCAGTCCTATTGTGCGCTCTTATTTGCTCACTTGGTTTGAACTCCATCATAAGGTGTGCGTTAAGGTGTTCAAATTTAGTTGTTAGTGACTCAGGGAACAACCCTCCAGCTAGAGTGGTCAACACAGGAATCAAGAAGAAAGCTCTCAAGACTTTCCCCACAGTAAGCTACTCTGCTGAACTAAACCTTCCAAGTTTGGATTCAGAGTGTGTGATATGCCTCTCAGAGTTCACTATTGGTGAAAGGGTGCGTATTTTGCCAAAGTGCAACCATGGTTTCCATGTTCGTTGCATTGACAAATGGCTAAGTTCACACTCTTCTTGCCCCAAGTGCAGACAGTGCCTTATTGAGACTTGTCAAAAGATTGTTGGGTGCAGCCAAGCTAGTACATCACAACCACCTGTGTTGCCAGTGACAGGAACCATTGTAACCGTAACCATAGCACCACTGGAGCAAGAAGGTTTGGTGCGTAATTACAGGGAAGTTCGCTAATTTAGTACTCCTTCCTAGCTAGATTGTTAAAATTTGCCCTGTGCCTCGATTTTGTACTAGAATTAATGCCTTCAGTTCTGGTTCAGACACAATCAATCATACTCTATATAGTGGTTATTGGTGAGTGTGTGTAAAGTAGAAACTCCTAGAAGTTGTTTTAGTTTTACCCCCTTCCCCCAACAAAATGTACAAAACTGGTTCAAATTGTAATTGCATTCTTTTCAATAATATTGTAAAGTACTTACTTTAATTTAACAGGTCTCAACAAAATCAGGTTAGATGGCTTACGCAACTAAGTTAAGATGCTGAATTGGGAAATCACTATAGCAATTCCAACTCTTTTAAGTGAATCAACTTAAGTTTATTAGTATTTTCTTCTTTTATGTCTTCTTATGATGGGTCACCACAATGGGTGTGTGACTAATACCCCATATAATGGTGTAGCTAAATGTTGTTAGTAAAATTCAAACGCTTACATTATGAGTAAATTTGCTCATTTGAGACTGGCTTCAGCAAATGACTCATTACTCATGACTATGTTAATGGATTTATTATTTTTTGAGACAAATTTATCTCCTATACACACATAAAAGTGTGTGGGGGCATATATTCTCTTTTCTTCACATGGGTCCTACACTCTTTTATATGTGTGTATGAGATAAATTTTATCTCCTACAATATAATAAACATTAATTCATAAGTTAATTAGTGTTTTTTTAATGCAAGGAAGAGATGCAATATTTTTTGGGACAAGTTATTCTCATACTTTACGGTGTAAGAATATAAAATCTTACATGTATTTTAGGTCACTGATCTATTTATATTTAATAGCTCAAATAATTAAAAAAATTAAAATTATTATATATGAATGGAACAATAGTCAAAATTGAAAATATAAATTATACGAGTATATAATAATCGTGACACATTTTTTTTTATTTTGTTTAAGCAAAACTTCAAGCGTCATATTATTTATTAAATTAAGTATTTTGAAGGCAAATGTTTTCTTGGAATCAAGGTCATGCATGACTACCAAATTGTAGGATAAATATTTCAAAATTTTAATACCATGCAACTCAAACAAGATAAAATATCACAAGAAAAATATGATTGGTGGTATCGCTGCTCCTATCTAGTGCCATGTGAATAATGTCCCTATTCCATCCTTGATTGCTAACAAGGCACCATAATAAATTAAAAGAAAAAAAAAAAAAAATTCAAAGTGGAGTACTTTATCCAGTCAATGGAGCATATAATGAATGAATGGAAGCTGAGGCTGAAAACCACTTATCACTTTCAAATCAAATAAGTGTACTAAAAGGGAAACGTTGTAGCATAGTAGCTCACAAAGAGTTTCATTGCTAATACTGACTAACCACACTCCGGAGGTTGAAATTTGATTTGCCGAAGCTCAACGCATTAAATATGCTCTATTAATTTGCAACATAATATGGTATATGTGTGTGCGTGGGACACTGATTGGTGCAGCAGAGCATTAACGTTAAAGCAAAATTGTGAGCATATTATTGTACCAACTGCAAGAGCAAATCAGAGGAAAAGAAAACCACGAAAGCTAGATAGCAATATAAATACATACATAATAAAAGAAAGATGTCCAAAGCAAGTCCAAATTAAATTCACCAATAGTGGTTTAATTTCCTTTTTGCATGATCCCAAGCTTTCTGCAATCGAGCCTTGTGTTAAGGACTAGCTTAGTTAATACCAGATAAAGAAAAAAATGTTATTGTAGATTATATTAGCAATTAAAAATTAGGGGTGGGAAAAAAATATTGGATGGATACGTGTCGCGTTATATATGGTCTGACTCGCAGGTAAAATCATTTAATTCGAACACCACACATATTTATTTACAGGTCAACTTGTACACAACCATCTCACCTAAAGCTCAAACTAATAATTGATAGGTTTTCAATGGTTTTATATTGTAAATTTCTCTAGCACATCCTCACATGCAAAAGCTCTTTGAATTTGAAGCATGTGTATTGGCAAAGGCCCATTCTTTTCTCTTTTTATATTTGTGTTCTACCTTATATTGACTTAATTCCATTAGAAAGTGTAGACAGTACGATGAGGATTGAACTTATGACCTCGTGGTCACCTTGAATATGATACAATCATCTCACCTAAAAAACCAAAGTATTGGGCTTTTAATAATTTTATATTAAAAAATCTCTATAACAAAACATGAATAAAAGACACGACACGATCAATGACCCATAGTGAATTGTGCCAAAATCATCAAAATTTTAATTTTTTTTTTTTTGAACAATAATTAAACGAGGTCATGTAGGTTATCCAGGATACGATAATAATTCATGCCTTTTTCTCAAACCTAGACACGAGCCGTTTTGGCCCAGAAATAAACACAAGCATATTGACGTTTCGTGTCATGGATCCGCCCATAAATCATGACACATCTTACCACCACTATTAAAAACAAACCAAAAAGGGAAAGCATCTAATGAATAATGGCTTCAACTTTTGCGGGTAAAATGAAGCATGAATCCTCATCATTCAACTTATCACTTATCCTATAGGTGAGATAGGGTGAAGTAATGGCGGCTGGAAGTAGCTTATGCTTCACCTTTTATAACTGAATGGATGTGTAATGAAATAAAAAATTCGTACTACAATCTCTTTTACATTTATCTTTTTTCATTTTTACGTGTGAAAATCATAATCAGTTAACCAAAGAATATAAAGTTCTCATTAAAATATGGTGATCTAGCATAGGTATATAAAATTACAATTATTAAAAAGATAAGACCAATGCAGTAGCCAAGCCACGGCAGCCATGCATATGTAATATGGATAAGGATTATTGTTCTTTACAGTTCATTTTTGATCTGTTGTATGCAGATTGACAATCTACGCAGTAGCACGTAAAAAAGGTAACCTATGATACAAAAGAATAAAGGAGAATCGATTATTCAATGAAAAAGGAAATTTAAGGGGAAAAATGCATAGATAGACTTGAAAAAGCAAATAGAAGAGGATCCACGCCCTAAGTGGCACATAATCCGTTAATATAGTCGTGTTATTGATGCAGTGAGGTTCACAATAACCTATTGCCTCTTAGGCTTCACTTCTGTCTCTTGCACTTCCATGCATTATTTATTTTGGATAACATGAAAATTAATCAATCCAGCACCATGATCAGAATTGCGGATCTAGGTTAAGGAGAAGGGGGGCAAGTGCCCACTCTTAAAATATGATGCAAAAATATAAAAATATCATTCTCTTAAAATTCAAGTTTTTCCAATTTAATTTTGGGGTAGGATATTATAACAACCAATTAGGGTTACTACCAATATTACTACCAATCAATTTCACCGTTAGATCGATTATGTTGATCCAACGGTTATACTTATTTTTATCTTTGTATGGTTATGATTCCCCATATTTAATACTTTATATTTATTTTCACCTTTGTATGGTTATGATTTTTCATATTTAATGCTTTTAAATTAAATATGAGGATCATAACCATACAAAGATAGAAATAAATATAACCGTTGGATCAACATAATTGATTTAACGGTGAAATTGATTGGTAGTAACCCTAGTTGGTTGTTACGATATCTTACCCCTTTAATTTCCCTCCCTCTATTTTATTTTCTCGTGAGTTTTGTTTTCTCCTCCATCTTCATTATCCAAACCCAACAGCAGAGAGCTCTATTCCAGACTCATCGTTTGCATCTTCATCTCCTCTCAAATCTCAATCTCCGTTATTGGAAGTTGGAACATTTGCTTCTTCGTCCATCATATATGGATCTAGTTGAGTCGCAATCCGTCCAGATCTAGATCTCAACCAAACCCAGCCAGCCGGCAGCTGCTCTCAAGTTGCGTTTCAGACCAGACCTAAATCTATATGTACTTGAACTTATTAAGTACCCACCTTTTATTAATTTTCTAGATCTGTCACTGACCATGATCCTATAATGTCCATGAGCAAAATTAACCTTAGATACAGTCTTCTAAAAAAAATTATTTGTAATCGAATTTAGTTGTTGATCAATGAAATATATTATGTTAGCAGCAGGAAATCTTCATAGATGTTGGGACAACGTCCTTAATCTGCGTGAAAGCTATTATAGGTCGTCAAGTGAAGTATATGTTCAGTGGTTGGAGGTCGGCCTATGTAATGGGCCCTAATTCTAGCCCAGATGCTATCAGTAACACTAGCAAACGAGTAAAAAGGCAATCCATCTATTTTCAAGACTTTGTTATAGGTTGATTATAGACAGTCAATAGCAAATCAGTTAACACCAGCCCATTTATGTAATAGCCCATTGATTACCCATTTTATATTCCATGTATGCAAACTTTAACGGTTTAAATAGCCTCTGAGCCAGTAATGAAGTATGAGAATATTCATAATCTTCTTTTGTCTCTCCTTCTCCTTCTTGTTGAAAATTTCCTTACGTTCAGATATGCTCCTGTTACATTGGTGCTTTCATTGAGTTATGGCTGAGAATACCAGACTTTGTGACCTCACTAACCAGGTCCATTCCCATGAGCAACAATTCATTACTCTGAAAAGGACATTGGACCACCGCTTGGAGACTTTTGAGTTGGCATAAAATCAAAGGTTTGAGGAGTACAATCAACGATTTACAACTGTAAATAATCAGATCCAGGATGTTTATACACTCTTACAGAATATGCAAGTTCAGATGACTAATTTGCTTAACGCCCAACAATCGAGTGTACTAGGCGCAGGACCAAGACACACTAATGGTTTTCCACGACCTCCACATCCTTCTCGCTCCATGAAAATGGATTTTCATAGGTTTGGCTCCGGGGATCCAGGTCCATGGTTGTTTGCAGTTGAGTGCTACTTTCGCTACCATCAGGTACCAGATCTTGATTGTCTTGATCTAGTTTCCTTCAATTTAGATATGCCTGCATCTTGTTGGTTTGAAACTCTAATGGGGAACGAGGAATTCCCTGACTGAGCTACCTTTGTGCAAGCTATCCCTCACCGTTTTGGACCTTCAGAATTTGAAGATCCTTTAGGATCCTTAGCCAAGTTACAACAATCAGGATCTGTTGCGGAATTTCAAGCAGCATTTGAGCTAAATGCCCGGAGGGTTCTTGACCTTACACCACTAATGCGTAAAAGCTTGTTCATCTCAAGGTTGAAACCTCATATTAGACGTGCAGCATTGGTCCATAGACCAAGAG